ATAGGATGGCCATAGAGTAGAGAAACTGCTGTCTTTGGACCCTTTGGCATCTTCAAAGTCTCCTTGATCAGCTACGCAAGCCCCTCCCCTTCTTAGGGGGGCTTTGTCCAGGGGTTGCCCTTGTACCTCAGTGTCTGGGTTAATGACAAAAACATCTTAGCTGTGCAAAGCAGCTCTTTCCCCATCCCCCTACCTCATTCCTCACCCCCCTCCTCTAAGCCCCCTCCCTGTCCCTTGGGGGGAAAAAATCAATTCTGAGTCACCAAATCCGTCTGACTCCATTTCCGGTTCTCAGTGCACCTAGACCCTGACAAGGGCCCCATCTTAGCCCACTCAGCATGAGGCGGTCCAAGGGTGGCTGGCCTGTACTCCCTTCTAGGTCGGTTCTCTAATGCTCACTAACAGAGTTGCCCCTTTCTAGGAGGAGAAGATTATTGGCAATCGTAATATCCAGACATGAGTGGTAGTGGGTTAGGCATGCAAAAGACAAGGGGCAGCTCCCACTCTTTTAAGTCCCTTAAATGCAAGTGTGGAGAATGACAGAACAGAACTGGAAGTCAGTTGTCTCAAAAGAGAACAAGTGTCATTAGAGACTGCTCCATGAGATCTCCTCCTCCACCTCTTCGCACTTGCAAACTTCTTCAGGGGTGTGATGCTTGTTGTCACCCCGAGAGGCCACGAGGCCAGGTGCTCCCTGGGGCCCAGGAGACAAAGATCAGAAGGGGCTGCAGGCCTGCTCACCAAAGGCACTCAAGGGCCTACAGAAAATAGGGGTCAAGGGAGAGAGCCAAGGGGCAGGGCAAGAGGCCCAGGAACGGATGGAGGCTTGGAGGCAATGATGGTGGATGGACTGAAGGAGGGAGGTAGGGAGGATGGATGGATGGATGGATGGATGGATGGAGGATGCATGAACTAAAGCAGAGGGGGGTGGGGGTTCACGAATACTGCAGCGGGCAGGGAAACGTGGAAAACAGCTAAGGTGCGGGTCAAAAGGCGAAGGATCAAGGGGGTGATCAGGGGGGCACAGAAGTGGGGTGCGTGGGAAACACGTGGAGAGGACTGTTACAGATGGGTAGAGCCGGAGCAGGTGCAGGACGGATGGAAGCTGGAGGCCAGCGCACAAGAAGAAAGATAAAGGCAAGTAAAGTGAGGGGCAGGTACTGTGCACCCGCCGAGACAGAGGTGGGCAGGGTGGGCTGCAAGCGATGGGCCGGCGCTAGGACCCGGAGGCGCGAAGGTGGCAGAGCAGGCGGGCACTAGGACCCGGCGGGTCCTTTGTTTGGGGGGCCGGGGAGCCGGACGGCGGCTCTAGTCGGCGGCTCCCCTCAGCTGGAGGGGGCCCTAAGGGGGGAGGGGAGATAGTGATGGGGTCCCCGGACTCTAGTGTGGCTGTACTCACCATCTGCCGCAGGCAGGTCGGCCCGTTCCACCCACGAGCTCCAGCTCTGTCCCGCGAAGTCATCGAGACTCGGCACTCGCCGCTCCAGAGCGGCCATTGCTGCCACCGCGCGTTCACGCACCGCCATCACCGCCGCGGACGCGCGCCCGCCCCGGCGCCGCCGCCGCGCGGCCCCCTCCCCCCCCCACCCTCCCCCGACCGGGGGCACGCCTCCCTCTCCCCCTACCTTGCCAGTTCACTCTTTGCGCAAGCGCAGTTTGGGTCTCCTGCCACCACCTCCTTACTCCCGCACAGCTTTCTGGGAAGTGTAGTTGCGGAGGGGTGGTGATGCCTACAGAGCTGGCCGAGGGATCCCTTCCAAAATGCACAATCGCACGCGGGGAAGGAGAGATCAAAACCTCGGGATACCCTCTTCCAGCCCCTCTGCACACATTCTTTGCGCCACCAGTCCGCTCTCCCAAGCTTACTATGCACACCCGAGCCCCAAACCTCTCTCTGCCCAAGATAACCCTCTAAAGCCGTGCATCCGCCAGCTGGCTGGCGCCCCTTCCTGGGCTGGCGGCCACGAAGCGACTCTGCTCCCCTGTAGATCGAATGGGGTAGGTGCAGGGAGGTGGGCGCAGTGAATCAGAAGGGCAAGGGGAGGGAGTCTGCAGGACGTGCTGAAGGACACAGGGGTTGGAGTGGGGGAGGGCCCCGGCTCCTGTGCTGTTCCTCTGTGGGAAACCCACGCTGCCTTGATGCAGAACGGAGGGTTGGAGGTGCTGTTGTCTGGGTTTGGGAGGACCTGGCTGAGCTTGCCAAGATCACCTGTCAGTATGACAGAAGGCTATCTCGGAGCCAGAACCAGCCCCGGAACTAGGGTGGCCCCGAGGCTTCTGATGTTTGCGGTGTCTCTGCTGATCCATCTCTCTCCTCCTGGGAACTGCGATCGATAACCTGCACCGCCTCTTCCCAAATCCTGGCTGGACCCTGATTCCATCCATCATTTCTGCTTCTTTTTCTAATGAATATCTCTTCCCAAATCCTGGCTGGACCCTGATTCCATCCATCATTTCTGCTTCTTTTTCTAATGAATATTTTCACCGCTGGAAAAGCTGCTACTGAAGCCTTGGCATAGGGAGGTTTCTCATCATATCTATCTTTCCCCCACCTCGCTAAGGTCCAGAAAGTACCTTAATCACCCACCTTCTCTGCCGATAATATTTCTTCCCTCACACAAGGGACAAAAGTCTGCCTCCACCTCCTTCCCCATTCTCGTTGGAAATGAAATATTAATCCTCTTTTTCTTTCAATACCTCACACCTCACGCCATATTGCATCCCTTTGCCTAAAAGAAACCAAGTTTGGGAGCAAATAAGTCAAGGTCTGTGACTTTAAGACCGCAGACTTCCTGCTTTCCATATAAGAACAGTTTAACTATATAAAGAATAATATCCGAGGGCAGAAGTTGTAAGCCAAAGACTCACCCATAGGTGATCCCTAAGAGGCCCAGGAACCTGATGAGATTAAATGTAAAACTGTGTCCAAGTACATTTCTCTGGGGAATGTAAATGTAACGCACGACTGTCTGTCTGAAGGAGATGGAGGTGCAGGTTTGTACAGCATGAACCTTCTAGTAGAGAGGGAAGCATATGGCCCTCGACTCCTCCTTTGGGTCACAGATGGTAGGAGAGCAAATGGAGACAGCACTGTGGAAGCCACTATCTTTTGCCTTTTGAGTTTGATCCAAATTTGCTAATGAGTCTCAGTTTCTTTGGACTAATTGGGTGCCACCAAAAGAGTCGATGTCACCAGATGGGCTTGCCAGGAACAATTGCTCACCCAACAGACTCTATTGCCTCGGGTGCAGAGTGGAGAGGAGTCCAGGGATGTCTTGGTAGAAATGCTGATATTTGTCCAAGAACATAGAACAAGGGAAAAGGAGAGGAAAGAAATTCCCAGAAGTCCTCGGGTCTTGGCTTCTTTGTGGCAAATGTTCTCAGCACTGTTTATTCAAATGTGTTATAACAAGCACCAGAAAACAGCATGCAACATTCTCCCCGCATCCTTGATTTGCAATCTCAGAGACCCGTGGTCAGGATGTTGAAGGGAACTCATGTCTAAAAAAGGTCCAGGATGGGTGTCTCCACATGGTCAGAGTCTACCAGGGCAAAGGGCAAGTCCCCTGCTTGTTGGCCTCCTGCAACAGCTAGAGAAACCAGACACCTTCTCCTACTTCAGGCCGAACTAGGCAAAGCGGTGGTGCCAGCCCTGGATGGAGAGTCCTGTGAGGACAGCCCTGCCCTTGGCACTTACCCCTGTTCAGCCCCCTAGAGGGAATGAGGTGAAATGGTCTTTCCTCTTAGGGTGACCATGAAGAGAGAGGCCACAACCTAAACCAAGGCTCTTCTGGCCATGAACCAGTCAGAATCTTGGTGAGGAAGAGCCTTCTCAGTCCTAGAGAGACCTCTGGACTGAGAGTGCTCAGCGGGCATGGACATCTCCCTTCCTAAAGCAGGTGATGGGCCAGTTGCTAACTTAGGCCCCAAATGAGAACACTTTATCCATCACGTTTCAAATAAATTATAAATATAGACGCAGAATCCAAACACAGTTCGAATAGAAGCTGCTCACAGATCCCCACAGGGGCTTGCTTGAAGAAAAATGAAGGTCACCCCTTTGTCCTTTGTATCTTTAGAGCTGTAGGCAAAACTGTCCCCCTTGTCCTTAACCACGGGGACAACTTAGGATAGACAGTTTCAGATTTAGGAACATTCTCACCCCCATCAACTTTTTCCCTCCTTAAATTCTTTCCCTAAAATCTAAAACAGAAAACAAAAATTCCAAATTCTTTTAATGAAGGGCTCAGGAGCATCTAGAAGTGTGTAAATATCATACTCCCCCTCTCAAGTGGGGAATTATAACTCAAAGAAGAAATGGATGGCCCAAAGTTAAGGGTTCTAAGCCCTGGAAACCCAATTAATCCACATCTTGATGTGGGTAGCGTTGAGGAAGATGAAGAGGCTGGAGAGGGTTGGGACCTGTCTTGAGGACAGATTAGCACAGGACACATTCATCTTTGGGATATTAAGTGGGCCAGTTGGCACTAAATTGGGAAATGGCTGGATTCTTCCTTCTTCATCTCTCCCTGAGCAGCCCTACTGCCAGGAGAGACCAAGGGGTTTTGATCTGGATAGGAAGCAGATGGTATTTTTCCAGTTGGTGCCCTGAGACCTTGGGGCCCAAGGAGGGATGGAAGGAGGTATCAGGAAGAGGAGACCACCGAAACAAATATGGAACTGGGTCCCGAAGTGAAGAAGCACCAATAGCATCGGGCTGCCCAAGATTGGGGAAGGGGTAGAGTCTGGCTACTATATGGAAGCAAGGGAGGACTTCAAGAGATGAGGAGAGAGAACATCTCTTTGTAAAAATGAGAAAGGAAAGGTATGAAAGATCTAGAAAAGGTGCTGGTTTGAGAAAATGAGCAGACAGTAAGAGACAAGTGGGGCCATCTATCCATGTCCTGGGACTCCTGGGCACCTCAGCCTCATGATGGTCCTTTAGGCCCTCCCAGCACCCACAGGAATGAAAGGAAGGCCTGGGCAGACTTAAAAAAAAAAAAAAAAAGATCTTAAATGCCTCATCTCCAAAAGGTTAGGGAAGGGAGACGGGCTGTCAGGTGGGGGGTGGGGTGGGAGAAGGAAGTGGAAATATTCCTGGCCTTCTCATCTTGTTTCCTAAGTGTGAGACAAAACCAAGCCCAAGAAGGAGAAGGGAGTTGGGGGTTTCATGAGTAAGTGGAGTTTAGGGAGCTGCTGAAAGTGTTCCAGCTGAGGGAGAGGGAGAACTGAGGGCCTGGAAAACGTATTCTGCCAGCAACTTTCCTGACTCTCTTCCCTGAAGCTGCAACACAATGGCAACTCTGTCTGCTCCCACTGAGCCCCGGCCTCATGTGGATCCTAAGAGGGCCCGCCCGTGGATAGGGTAATGGGTCTCCCTGTTTGACACATGGTGGGAGCTGTGGACAAACAGAGGCCAGAGAGGAGATTAGGGAGCACACTGGGCTCTGGGAGGACTAGAGATAAGATACAGAGACCAGACGACACCACTGCTGGGCCCTCCACATGGGAATCGGAAATCTGGGCAAGGCTGCCGGCTGACTTCCCCTCCCCCACTGCACGGAGACTAGACAAGTGATAGCAAGGCAGCTTTTAGAGACCAGTGTTAGGATTCTAGTTTCCTCCCCTCACCTGCAGCAAGCAGAGGCTCTTTCTCAGAGACTTGAGAACACAAATTAAAGCCCAGTAAGATGCCTGAGTCCAGGCAGTGGACAAGAAGTACTGAGTTCCTGCCCTTTGCAGCTCCAGCAGGGTGAGGGATTAGGAAGCCAGTGGAGGACTGCCTGGGTTACCAATAGCTGATGCCTACGCATCCAGCGTCTCAAATCTCAAAGCCCAGAATGATGGGGGAAGGGAGCTGGAGGAGAAGGAAGGTCCTGTGGAAGCCGGAGGACATGAAGAGGTGCTGTCCAGGTCGGGAGTAGCCAGCTGTTCACTGCTTCTCCAACGCTCCCTGTTCTGCGGCACTCTCCTGGCTGGGGCCCTGGCCTTGGTCCTGGCCCTGTCCATGCCACGGTGTCTCTTTGAACACAAACCAACAGTTTCCAGCCCACAGGAAGAAGTTGATAAAGCCGAAGAGCTACAAAAGAAATCGAGAGTGTCTGTGAGAATCGTCAAGGAGCCGCATGAGAAACGGGAAGAGGAAGTGCACAGAGAGCTAGGTATAGAGGCAGAGTTCGAGGCCACTGTCATCAAGGGATTCTCTGGTGAAAGTGTCTAAACTCTATCCACAGTACTCATCCGCACTGTAGCTTGGTCCCTAGCTGAACCCCGCCCCAGGAATGCTAAGTAAATCAAGGATCACATGTCGGCCTGCTTGAGGTGAGGGAGACTGGAGCTGTCCAAGGTACTCCTCCAGGGAGAGAGACTCAGGGAAGGCTTTGTTCAAACATCTGTTGCTTGTTTTCTCTGTGTACCCAGGCTGTTCTAGAACCTGTAACCCTCCTGCCTCTGCCTGACAGGCTGTTGGTATTACAGGTGTGTGCCACCACACCAGCTCTATTCAAATATTTATTTTAAATGTTTTGAAAACCTTTAGTTTTTTTAGTGAGGGGTATTGGCTCATACCTTTAATCCCAGTACTCCGGTGGTAGAGGTAGGTGGATCTCTGAGTTCAAGGACAGCCTGGTATCTATAAGGTTCCAGAGCTACACTGAGAGACCTTGCCTCAAAACACACACAAAAAAAAAAGAAAGAAAAACAAACAAACAAACCTAACAAAACAAAAAACCTAACAAAAGAGGAGTTAGGGAGAAAGGAACTGATGTTTGCAATTCACTTTGAAAAGCGTTTTCACAAATGGATTGAGTTAACCATGGTGGTGCACACCTTTAGTCCTAGTAATTGTAAGGCAGAGACAGGCAGATCCCCATGAGTTGGAGACCAGTCTGTTCTATACAATGAGTTCCAGGCCAGCCAGGGTTATATAGTAAGACTCTGTCTCAAAATAATAATAATAATAATAATAATAATAATATCACCATCAATAAACAAGGCATGATGGTTTACACCTGCCTAATCCTAACATTTAGGAGATTAAGGAGGGAAGATTGCAAATTTGAGACCAATCTGAATCACACAACAGATAGGATCTCAAAACACAAATGAAAAGAAAAGCTGAGTGTAGTGGCATGAATCAGTAATCCCAGTACTTAGAAGGCTGAGGCAAGGGAATTGTGAGTTCAAAGGCAGCTTGGGCTATACATGTTCAAGGACAACTTGAGTTATATAGCAGGACTCGGTCTCAAAAATCAAAACAAAAAGCCAGGCGGTGGTGGCGCACGCCTTTAATCCCAGCACTCGGGAGGCAGAGCCAGGTGGATCTCTGTGAGTTCAAGGCCAGCCTGGACTACAAAGTAAGTTCCAGGAAAGGCGCAAAGCTACACAGAGAAACCCTGTCTCGAAAAACCAAAAAAGAACAAAAAAAAAAAAAAAAAAAACCCAAAAATAACAATAAGGAAAGATGAGTAAATACATATAAAACAGGTACACTGAAATGTTACATTTAGGTGGTGACTATGCAGGCCTTCCCTGTAAAGTATTTTCAATTTGGCTGGATATGTGAAAATTTTAACAATTAAAAATTGGAAGACAGAGCCGGGCGGTGGTGGCGCATGCCTTTAATCCCAGCACTCGGGAGGCAGAGGCAGGCGGATCTCTGTGAGTTCGAGGCCAGGCTGGTCTCCAAAGCGAGTTCCAGGAAAGGCGCAAAGCTACACAGAGAAACCCTGTCTCGAAAAACCAAAATAAATAAATAAATAAATAAATAAATAAAAAATTGGAAGACAGACTTGTGCATGGTTTCAGAAGGCTCCCTGATGCACTAGCCATGAAACATTTCAATTGTTGGTCTTGGGGAGGTCTGAAGCATTTTCTGAGTGGGAATGGGGTGTCTGTGAAGACAAGAGGTCATTTGAGAAGCTTAATGCTGCGGGCGGGTATTTATCAGCTTATAGAGATACATCTCAACATTGCAACAACTACAATGGTTAAAACTTGGACTGCCTGCCAGCTGAACCCACCACTGCCACCCAAACCCATTCCAGTAGGGAAGGCTAACTGACAAGGGGCGGTTTCTCTCTCACACTGGTCCACTCACAGCTCTGAGGCCAGTCCCAGCCCTAAGCTCCCTCTCCTGAGACACATGGCCAAAGAGGCAAGAAAGGGTAGCCTCCAGGGCAGCTAAAAGTGGGGAGGGGAGATAGTAAAGGAGTGACTCGGATTCTTCTCATGCCAAAGTGTCTTCTCAGGTCAATATCAGATGCAGGGTTACTAGTCTAGATGCAGAGCTTATGGGCTCTGGGGACACGTTCTCTAGTCTTCTCAGAACCAGCTAGCTGGGACAGCTGGGCTTGTGTGCCTTTCCCAGACACAGGTCTCACCACAGAAATGTTAGCTAGCCCCATCGAGGGTGTGGCTCCGGCACTGCATACTGCATCCTCTCCGTGACACACGGACATGGCTGCAGTCAGGCTGGATGGCCGTGTGGCCCCTTTGACATCAGTCAAGCCCTTGCCCCAGGCAGCTGCAGCAACCAGCCAGAAGAAGGTGAAGGAGACAGTCACGCAGAAATCCTAGGAGGAGCAGAGGGAAGAAGACATATTCAGAATGGCCCCGTGGTCACCGGTCTCTTTTCTTTCCTCTTGTCACACCAGAATCCTGAGCTCCCCAGACAGCTGAAGACTCTGTTCAGTACCACCAAAGGAATGCTGCCACTCAGACTGCCATACCCCTGCCCTTTGAACTAAGGTTAGGCGATGAGCTGCCAAGCTATCTACTGGTAACCCTCCCTCCTTGCAACCCAAGTGACTTAAACTCCCCACTCTTTCCTCCCCGCTTCCCTTTGACCACCACTGTTCAAACTATAAGTAACGAAGAAGGCAGATTCAGAAGACAATTGAGGTCTCTAAAGCCTACTTCCCATCTTGAATGTCTGAGATACAGAGGAAGTAAAGGAAATAATACTAATAATAAATAGCTCTCATTGAGAATAACTATATGTGAGATGCTGCACATATACACATATTTTACCCTCCTAAGACACTTGACACAAGTATTCATTACTTCATCTTTATTTTATAGCCAAGGAAATTAAGGTGTCGAGAGGCTGAGTAATTTGTCTAATGTCACACAGCTACTATGAGCAAGTGCTGGGATTTGAACCCAGTTAGGTTAGCTCTAGATTCTGCTTGATAGAGATACTGCTTTGCCTCCTCTGACTGCAAACAAAGCAAGAAAGGTTGGTAGGGCAGAGGTTCCCCTCCACACGTAGGTATCAAGGACTCAGAAGCCATCGCTTTTGACGTCCCCTCCATCTCTGACCTCAGCCTTCTGACAAATGGCTCCTCCATTTCCTGGTCCCATCCCTCTGGGCTGGGCTCACTCACCACCAGTGGGAAGCGTTTGTTCTCTGTGTAAAGGTTGTGGAAGCGCAGGTAGAGGACAAGAGCAGCCATTGTATAGAAGAAGGAAAAGATGCCAAGGGTCACAAAGAACTCAGCGGGGGCAGAGAAGTCTCCCATGAGGTGCATGGTTTTGGAGGTGGAGTCGTCATCACAGAGAGGCATCTCATACTGGACCCGGTGCAACCTGCAGGTGGCAAGGAAGCCATGCTGAGTCAGGGCCCGCCTCTCTTGCCCTGCCCAAGAAGGGCCCCTGTGTTGGTTCTCACCCTGGGAAAGGAGTCATATAGGTAGGAACTTCTGAGGAAATCTTATAGTCAAGACAGGAGCTGCCTCAAGATTCTACTCTTTTTTTTTTTTTTCTGGTAGTACTGGGGGTTGAACATGGGTCTTACGCATGCTAGGCAAGTGCTTTACCCTAGTCCAAGATTCCATCCAAGCCCTATGTTCCCCATCAGCAGCCACTCCATACCCACCCATCCGGCCAGAAATGGTCTCCCTGAATTTCTAAGTATCTCTAGGGACCTTTAAGTCATAAGATATACAGTCCAACTATTTCTGATAGACAAACCACTAGACAAAATAGATCCATTTTGCCCTTAGAAACAGACAAGCACGTATTAAGTAGTGGGCAAATTAGGGTTTGAATTACCCATTCACAGACTTGATTTAGCCCTCCCTGATTTGGCCACATTGAACAAAATAAAGTGGGAAATACAGCTCGTTGTGTACAAGAGATACTTAGTCTAAGCTGGGGGCTGAAATGGTTTCAGACATTCTGAAAAGATGAGCTCTGTCTTCATCCTCTTATGAACACACATTCCCTCCTCCTTAGGCTCCCAAATACTCAGGGGTTAGTATCCACTTCCTGGTCAAGATGTACCTCCTTGTATTTGGGTGACATCACGTGAGCATTTCGCATCTATTGTTTAATATCTAAACTCTAACCAGCTTCCTTCCTTCGAGCACAGAGGAATCTGCCGAGGGTTAGGGAGAGCTGTCACTGGCCCAGAATCCTACTACCCTTCCCCCGCCGCACCAGCTGGAGTTTCTCCGTTTGAGCTGTGGAGATCTGCCATTGCCTGAGTGTGGACTGGACCATTATGACAATGATATGTCCGTGTTTCACTCTGGTCAGAGTGTCTGAAATGGCTAGAGGACAGAATGATCCAGGTCTTGTTCTATTTTGATCTAGAGCAGCACACAGTAAATGGTCTTTGGGTTGTGTGTCCTGTGAGCAGAAATAAATGAGTGACAGGAGGCTGGCAGGAGCAGGGGAAGAAGAAAGCCCTGCTAACCTAGGGTCAGAACCAGTCCCTACTCACCTGAAGGGGTAGCCGAACAAAACAATGATGGAGCTCACGTCCTTGGCTTGGTTGTTGCAGCGAACCATGGCTCCCGTCTCCCCGCTGTAAGAGCCGCAGGACCCGAAGGCGAAAATAGCAAAGAGCTAAAAGAAAGGGAAGCCGCTTTGAGAGTCAGAAGGTCTCTCCCGTCCAAGGTAAAGAACCACCCTTTGACTCCAGAGGGTGCAGGTGCTTCCTTTTCTCAAGTTCCTCCTGGTAGGGACCCTCAGCGGCCATTCTTCTCTCAACTCCAAATATTGTATTCTCTGAACAAAGCAGTGGGCCAAGTGAGCAAATGAAGAAGACCAACCCTGAGTGTGGTCTCAAGGGAGGGGAAGCGAGAGGGAACGGTTTCCAGACCTCTCTATTGGGCACGGCACTGGGGACCACACATAGCTTCTTTAAGATAACGACTAACACCAAACCTCTGTGATTCTGGCTTTGGAAATGTCTGTTTCAAAGCTAGACTCTCCCCCCCCCCCCACCCCCGAAAACAAGAGATCAGACATAGATCAAGCCAGATCAGGCATGCCTGGGATGTTTTTCATTTAATTTCATTTTCATTCTCTCTCGACCAGTCATGGACTCTTGCCCTTACTTTATTTCTAACTTCCAGTAGTTTCTTCCCTCACTGGGGGTATGGTGGAAGGAGGCTTCTACCGAGCCATTTCATGGTACTGTCAGCCTGACTTTTCTTCCCCGAAAGCGTATACCCTTTCGGCAACGGCGCCCGCTGGTGAATGTTGACAGGGCCTGGCTCAAGCCCAGAGGAAAGTATCGTCCACTTTCCTTATCAGCCTCTACTATTCCCCACTGCTGTTCCTCTTTGTAATCTGCTGATGCTGCCATTTCCCAGTGGCCAGAAGCGGGGGTGGCTCAGACCACTCGCACTGTTTCCCTTTCCACCTTTCGTCACGGCTGACTACACCTTCTGTCTTGAGTAATATGAAGTGTCCCCGTCCTATGATTCTCCCGTTTCTTTCTGGAGGAACACACGCTGATTAGAACAGAAAGAAAGAAACTGCAGGCTCTTGTTCTCCCCTATTGTCTGGTCAGCCCATTTCCTGTGCACCCACCTTTGGCATGATACTAATATTCTTATTAAATGATGAATATATTCTGTTAGTTATTTGCTTCTATCTGCTTCGCTGTCACCCAGTCAGTGTTTTGGACATTAAACAAGAAGAAGACAGAAATCTATACTCCGGGCCTACATCTAATCAAGAATAGAGTTGTGCATTATTTCTCTAATGCTGGTTGAAGTGAAAAGAGATCTAGATTAGGAGTCAGGAAACCCAGTTTGGCCTTGTAACTCATTCTCTGGGTGGCTTGGCTCTCCAAGTCCCAGTTTCTACATTTCTAAAAGGAAGGACCTGGGGTTTATTTAAAGGCTGCTTCCAGCTCTGGAATTCTTCCACCGTCTGAAGTTAATGCTATCAGCAGAGCATGCTCTTGGCCGGGTTTACCGACAGCTGTGCTCTGCTCCTGGGTGGTATCCAGTGCTACCGCCATGCCTCGCATGGCCTGGCCTGGCTGAGCTCAATGCTGGAGCCGTTGACTGCTCTCTAAAGGTCATGTGTGCCCCTGTTTTCAGTAGAGTTGTTCCAAAGGAGTGGGAGTTGTCTATACAGGCAGCGATACCCAGGAAAGCAGACAGTGTAGCCTGCCTGCAGTGCCTACGTAGCTTCCATATCTGAGCTAAGCTCTGAAAGCTGCAGTAGAGCACTGTTAGCTCATCTTCCTGACAGAGCCAGGGACAGAGAGAAGTCACTAGACGCCTTTGTATCATCACCCTTAACATACTCAAAGCTGGCCTCTCGAGCAAAACAATGAACCTTCTCTAGCTCTTCCTCTGAGGGGTTTTCTTATCTTCACTCACTCTGTGACTCTCGGACTCCTCATAGAAGTCCTTATTCCTCTTGGTTTCTAGTGTCTAGAACAGGACACAATCAGCGTGTTACATTTGAGGAAGGGCAGCATAGTTGGGTGTATTTTTTTTATTATTCATTAACTGTTAGTCAGTGAGTATAGGGAAACATGTACAGATTCCTAGCTTGGGGCAGTGAATACCAAGTATGGAACCTTTTCTTCTCTGGGCACTGGTGAACATCTGCCGAAAGCTGGCATTTCTCAAGTATGTACCTGTACCAGTCACTTTAGCAGAGAGAGCGAGAGACAGAGACAGAGACAGACAGACAGACACAGACACAGACACAGACACAGACACAGACACAAACACAGACAGACAGACAAACAGGGGTGCTGTCCTCATGGAGCTCATGCCTTAGAACTATACTATTCAACAGGTAGTGTCCAGCTAACTATGGCTATTGAAAATACTTCAAATAAAATGGAACAAAAGCTAAGATTCAGTTGCTCAGTCATACCAGCCACATAGCAAGTGCTCAGTAGTCACATTCAGCAAACCACCACTCTACTGATCAGCATGGATTACAGAACTTTCCCATCATCAATGAAAATTCTCAGTCTAAATGATGAGGTTCAGGTCAGAAAATTATGAGCCCTCCTCTGATTCTTCAGAAAGCAAAATACACTCATAACCACTTTGCTGTTAATTGTTTATTCTTTTCTATTTTGATTCTCTGAAAGCTAGGAATATCTAAACATTATCTGTAGTAGTTTTTTTTTTTTTTTGCTTATCTGAGTGTGTGTTTATTTATTCATTTTGTGGTGCCCAGTGTTAAACAAAGGGCCTTAAGTATGCTAGACAAGCACTCTACTATAAACCCATATCTCCAAACACAGACCACCACAATCTGTGGTGCCAGAGAGCAGAGTTAGTGGATAACAGAAAAATCTGATAGGTTCTCAGAGCAGTGGGAACAAAAGACCTCAGACATTATTAGACCAGTGGTTTCCTTTCACTTCTGGATGCAGAAGCACTCCTTCCTCTGATTCAGTGATGTTCTCAAATCATATTTAGCTAATGTGAGGGGGGGTTTCACATCCACAGCTCCTGATTCCTGTTCGGGGCTCCTCCTACTTCATTCATTCAACTGAAACTAGGCATCTACCTTGTGCCCTGATACTAGAGATATGGAGGTGAGTAAGACTGTACCGCAGAGTTCCTACGGCTGAAGAGGCGGTCTCTTCTGTGCAGTGCATGTTACAAGGAGGAAGGGAGGAAGGCAGGCACTCTGCTCTGGGCTGCACGAGCAGAGATACCAGTCCAGCCCATTCACAGCTTCAACCCCTCTACTTTTCTGTACCAGATTGCTTCCTGCCATAACCATGTAGGGAACTAAGCCCCAGAAACAAGAGAAGAAGAACTTGAAACTAATCTTCACACACACACACACACACACACACACACACACACACACACACACACACACACACACAAGGCTGTGAGATAACACACTGATCACAAAGAACCAAGATGGGGTACCCGAGAGCAGGGGAGTTTCTGGAGCTCTGAAACTGCAAATGGTGATGGTTGAACTTTGCCCTCTACCTCCCCCTCTCCTCCCCCGCCCCCCCCCCCTTTGAATCTCTTTGAAAAGATAGAATAACCTTCTCAGTTTAAGGTTAGGGCTCCACTCTGATGCTGGCTGGCTTGCTGGTTGTAATGGAGTGTCAACCCGGAGAGCACTAACCCCCAGGGATTAGTGCTCAAAGCACAAGAACATGGGTTTTTTTCCCCCTGAGTCCTGATTCACAACCATCTCTTGGTGCTATGGATTCTGACAGTGTCCATTCAAAATCTCCAATAGAAAAAAAAAAAGTGCACCAAACAAATAAAAACAAATTCCACCAATGAAATAGCTTCCTCGTATTATAGATACCAAAGCCCATCCCCTCTACTCCCAAATCGTCAGCCCTCATCAGGAGCGGGTATTTGGATAAAGTTAATACGATCTATTCCTTGTAAGGAAATGGAGTCCCATATGACCGAGTCACCTGGATTCTCCTGTACCTTGCGTTCAAACCGAACGGTTGGCAGTGGTGTTCGCGTAATCTCACCAAAGGATGACTCTCACGGGACAGTCTGCATAAGGGGGAGAATTAGGAAAGACTGGAGGGAAGGGAGCACGCATCTATGGAACCTGCTCACCATGATCTTCAAGAATGTTCCATGCGCCATAGACGTTACCTCCCATAGCCCTGCCAGTAAACCTAGATGATATGGTTTAGCCTCCGATGAAGAAAATGAGGCCCATAAAGATTTCATCACTTACCCAAGCTTTGAGGGATGGAAAACAAAAGAGACCGAATTTAAGTCAAAGTCCATCCAATCCTAGTCTTTCCCCCCTTCTTTCCCTTCTTTACTTTTAAAGCTAGTTTTTGGGGCCAGGGAGATGGCTCAAAGGCACTTGCCATGTAACCCTGGTGATCTGGGGTTCCATCCCCCAACTCTATGTAAAAATGAAAAGGGAAAGCCAACTCTTTTGACATGAATGCCAGGCACTTGCACCACTTCTCTCTCTCTCTCTCTCTCTCTCTCTCTCTCTCTCTCTCTCTCTCTCTCTCTCTTTCTCTCTCTCTCTATCTTTCTTTCTCTCTCTCTCTCACTCTCTCTCTCTCTTTCTTTCTCTCTCTCTCTATCTTTCTTTCTCTCTCTCTCTCTCACTCTCTCCTCTCTCTCTCTCTCTCTCTCTCTCTCTCTCTCACACACACACACACACACACACACACACACGCATACTAATGATAATATGAAAGTTAAAAAAACAACAGCAAAAACCTACTTCAGAGTTATTTGACTGCACTTGGGAGGCAGAGGCAGACAGATCTCTGTGAGTTGGAGGACAGCCTAGTCCTGTGAGTTCCAGGACAACCAGGGATGTGTAGAAAAATACTGTCTCAAAATAAAGATAGATGGATGGATGGATGGACTGATGGATAGAATTGGCTGGCTGGCTTGATATAGACCTGATAAGATTCTTGAATTGGAACTGAGGTGAGATTAGTTTCTGAGTCTTTTTGTTTATTTAGTTTGGTTTGGTTTGGTAGATCTGCCTGTCTCTGCCTCCTAACTGCTTGGACTAAAGGTGTGTGTCAGTATGACCAGCTTAATTTCCAAGTCTTAAAGACACTCAAAGTCCTGACTCAAAAAAGAATCACATCACTTTCTTCTCACAAGGATTCCTTTGGGCAATAATAAAAAGTTTTTAATTACCATTATAATAACTAAAAGATCCGTGCTTTCTGTTTCTTCCCCAGTAAGAAGTATTTCTCACACTGGTTCCTACGTACTTTTCTGTTCGTCTGCAGACTCAAACAAGCCAAACTCACACCCCAAGCTGGTAGAGCACTGAGAGCAAATCACGGCTCCTTAGGATGCTACCCTGTGAACGAAGGCCAGTTCCAAGTTATCCCCAGAGACCTGATTCATCAGCAGGAGAGGAAGAAGGTCCCTGTTTTGTACAATTCCCTTTATAAAGCTGAAGATCATAAAGTCAGAGAGGTCTTAATTATTAGGGCAGCAGTACTCAACCTGTGGGTCATGATCCCCTTGGAGGTCGCATATCAGATATCCTGCATATCAGATATTTATAGCAAAATTACAGTTACAAAATAATTTTATGTTTGGGGGGAGGGCCACCACGACATGCGGAATGGTATCAAGGGGTTGCAGCATCAGGAAGGCTGAGAACCTAAGACAGGGTTAGAAGAAGGTTGGAGCATTGTGCTAGGCATGGCTGTGTGCAGGAATGTTGTAGGAAGCGGTGGTGAGAAAGATGGCGAGATCAAAGAAGGAAGCTTTTCAGAATCTTCCTGAGGAAAGCAAATGCATGGTCTCTCCTCATTGTTTCTTCCATCCCTTGACAGTCCGTCTCAACTTTCTATTAGATCCACTTGGCCAGTTTAGATAGCACTTATGTCCTGTCCCGGTTCTCCGGGTTGCTCACGATGCCTCCTAATTTCTGGATGCCAGCCCCTTTGAAGCCTTGCTTTTCCCACTCAGTCCCCTCTGGTGCTCAAGTCAAAGCAAGAAAGGGCAAGAGGTGGAAGAGTTCGGTCGACACTGGTCCCACTCTTGAGGCAGCAGAAAAAGCGGAAAGTCCCAGAGGTTATTTACACTTAGGACTCCCAGGCTGGTCTACAGCCAGTCAGGTCTCAGATACCCAGAGACAATCCCAAATGCACTATTGTCCCTGAATTCCAAATGTGATGATTCCCATCCAAACCACACTTATTTAGGATTTGGTGACATCACGCTACTCCCTGTCTCTGATGAATTCAAAGCTCTTTAGAACTCACTCCTCCCACTTTCAATGGTAAGTTGTTTCCCTAGCTGAGGGCACATTAACAGCTTCGTATAAGGCAGGCAGTGGTGGTGAATGCTTTTTAAACCCAGCACTAGGGAGGCAGAGGCAGGCGAATCTGTGTGTGTGTGTGTGTGTGTGTGTGTGTGTGTGTGTGTGTGTGTGTGTCTACAGAGGGAGATCCGGTACAGCCAAGACTACACAGAGAAACACCAAGCTGGTGGTAGTGGTGGGGGGAATAACTTCATATAGCATTTGGTACATGGATTGTCTAACAAAATCCTTTCTGCAAGAATGCACAAAATGTCCCCCAAGTCTTTATGATTTGAAAAACTGACTGCACCTGTCCACGTTTCTAATTTATGACAATCTTGGGCACTGGGTCTAAGAACAGAGAGCTTGCCAATGTTTTAAAGGACCAGTGGAACAAGACAATATTCCTACTAGACCAAAGCAGGTGAAACTGAGGACCTGGACAGACGAATGTTTCAAGGTCACGGGGTAAATTTAATGTCGAGCTGTAGTCTAGCATGCTGACAGGTTTGATCCAAGTTCGACTAAGGTTGGAAAGCGATGTCCAGAGAAGTGGCTTGTCCAAGGTCACAGAGCTGAGAAAGGTAGAACTAGGCCTGCAACCTGCCACCCCACCTTCCCAGCTCCGTGTTTTGTTATTCTAGCTGCCACATTTGAGTCACGCGGCGATCTTCTCCTGTCCTAATTGTTTTATTTAATCGTAGGATGGGAAACTGTTCATTCATTCATCCACTTCTTTACTCAGTTACAGGTACCCAAATTACTCCAGTGACCTCAGCTGGGAGTCTGTCCCCTGAGTCCACCTCCAGGATCATCTAGGTCCTAGAGGGTTCTGGGCAGAATGGTTTCTGTAACCCTCCTCTTCCTTCTCTCCGGTGCCCTCCGTGGCTTTGCTCTGATTGCAAAGCGGACCTTACTCCCCCCCCCCCCCCCCCCCCCCCCCGCCTTGTCCTCCTCACCCCGCCTGCCACTGAAGAGTGGTATGTGCAGGATCAGAGTTCTGGAAAGGTTACACCCGGGTCCTCTCGCCCGAGCGAAATGTGAGCGGCCTGGGCAAAGGCGCCCTGCACATAGAAGGTCCGAATCCAGGACTCCGCAGGCCTGGCTCCTCTCCCTCCTTCCACCGACTGCTGGAGAAGCAACCCTGGTTCTCCCCTCCCCCGCCCACCTGTCGCCACCCTTCCACCCTTCCGCAGTAGCTGGGCCCGCTGCATCTCCCCAGCCTCCTCCGGGGCCACATTGCTTCGGGTCGGCGTCACGATCCAGACTCCCGAAATAGCCCGGGGCTGGGGCCGACTCACCCACTGGAGAACTTTGATGAAGCCCAGTGGTTCCTCCAGGCGCCGCCAGCGCAGCCCCACGAGCAATCGGTCCACCTGCAGAGACAGAGGCAGCCGACGGTCAATGAGGCGGGGGAGGGGGGCGGGGGTCCCCCTCTACTCACACTGGGGTGCAGGGAAGGCGGAATCGGACTCAGGCAGGATAGCTAGGTGGGCAGGGGCTGGTGAGAGTCCACGAGCCGAGCGCTCGGGGCGTACCTGCGGGCGCGGAGCCTTGTCCGACGTGCGGCCGGGGCTCTCCGTCGAGGACATGCTGGTGCAGCGGGGAGCAGTGTGGGGCTTCGGCTCCCTGGCCGGGAGGCTGCGTGGCGCGCGGGGGCGCTGGGGACGGTGGGCTCGCGGCCGTGGGCAGGCCGGGCTCCAGGCTGGCGGGCGGGCTAGGTCGTGGGGGGCGCTGCTGCTCGCGCTCTTGGAGGCTGTGTCCGCCGCACTGCCCCGCCGGCTGCAGAAAGCCCCCGAGTCCGATTCAAACTTCTGTCAAACTCTCGGGCTGAGTCCGCAGCCGAGTCACGTGGCGTGCGATCGCGAACCCTGCTCCCGCCCCCTGCGCTCCCCTTTTTTCCGCGCGTAGGGCGCCTTAAAGGGACCTGTGGAGCCTGCTAGCCGTCGGGCTGCCAGAAGGCTCCCGGGCTTTGTTAGAAGCCTCCAGGGAGGGTCCCCACGGAAATAGCGCAGCCGCTCCAACACCAGGGCCAAGGTCAGGAACCCACCCGGGATGCGCGGACTCCTAGTGCAGCTTTCCCGGTTTTCCTGAGTTCTGTCGGAGGGTTCTTCTCCTTTTCCATACCGTAATAACTAGAGCACACAAGATCTTCCTAAGGCATCGTTAGTGCTGCTGTAACGGTGCTCCACCAGCCAGAACAGACGGGAAAGAACTGAACTATAGACTTTCACTTCGCAGTAGACACGGTTTTACTTTTTTTTTTTTTTAACAACAAACGGCGTTTAGATGTTAATGAGTTTCAAAGTTACCAAATTTTAAAAAGGAAGAACTCGATCTCCTTTTAATAGCCAACACTATTTAAATGAGAATGAATCTCTAAGGATCTGTGGGCGCAGAGACTGGAGTTTGTGTTGAAAACTAAGGCAAAGTTGCATTTTGATTGACTTTGAATGGGCCTCATTTTTGAAAAGCGTTCTGTGGGAGCTGAAAGCGAGCAGTCGTGAGTATTACACATTACGTTTACAAGAAGTGGAAATCTAAATAGTAAAAGGTGACAGACACCACGTAACCAAAGACTCAGAGTGAATCAATGGGCGGAGCTAGGAGGGAACCAGCCTCCCTCTTTTGCTCTTAACTTTTATCCATCAAAGTCATTCTTTGATGATATGCCTCCAGTCCCTACTTCCAGTATTTCAGCATTTCAAAACCAATGCTTTTAAATCAAACATTCTGTTGTTATTTATATAATTCAGCCGTTGAATAAGAGTCTTCCCAAACCTAGGCATGAGTGGGTGGGACAAGCAGCTCAGGCTGGGCTGTAAGGAAACTTCTGCTGTGGATACAAGGAATTGCTGAGTCCACAGATAGGACCTTAATAAATCATGGGGACGGGAGAGATGCGGTGGTTCAGCAGTTAGGAACATTGCTTTCTCAGAGGACCAGGGCTTGGTTCTGGGAACTCACAACCGTCTGCAATTCCAGTTCTAGGCTATCCATTGCCCCAACTGGCCTCTGGGAGTGCTCGTACATACACACAGGCAAACATTCATACACATAAAGTAAGGATAAGTGCATCTTTAAAAATTATTCTGCTATCTTAGGTTCCCATTCTACAGTCATTTGTTTTATTTATTTATTTTATTTATTTATTTATTTTTTGGTTTTTCGAGACAGGGTTTCTCTGTGTAGCTTTGCGCCTTTCCTGGAACTCACTTGGTAGCCCAGGCTGGCCTCGAACTCATTTTTTATTAAGCCACCATGAAGACTGAGGTGTAAATGCCTAACCACACAGATATGAAATAAAACGTATTATAATGCCCACTGACCAGCCTTGTTTGACTCAAGTCCATTGCTGTTCTATCCTGTGTTTATCAGCCTCACCCCCCCCCATTATACTATATCTAGGAACAATGTATAGATGCTATATCATAATTTTTTCAAATCGTTTGAAACTTTACTATTAATATCATGGTTCTTTGACTTGCTTTTGTTTTGTGACAATCATCTGACCCGATACATGTAGCTTTAGTTTTGTTTTTGTGTTTCATTTTAGCTGTAGAGAGTTCCACCACAAACATAGTGCAGAATATTTTCCTACTTTCATATTCAGTGTTTGGGTTATTTCCAGAAGTCCACTCTTCAAACACACTGCTGTTATATGTGTATTTTCTTGTATAGGTTTTACATAGCACTGAGTTTTCAGTGTGTGTGTATGTGTGTGTGTGTGTGTGTGTGTGTGTGTGTGTGTGTCCAAATGCGTACCTTGGTTGTAAATAGATGTTTACAGCCTGACCCATTGTATAAACTGAAACAGGACTGACAAGAATGGCTCAAGGGGGTAAAAGCTCTTTCCAGGCAAGCATGATGACCTAAATTTAATCCCTGGATCCCACAGCCCAAGGAGACAACAGACTCCCACAGCAGACACACAGACCAGTAATAAATACAATTGTTTTTCTATTTTTTCTTTTTCTTTTTTCAAGACAGGGTTTCCTTGTGTAGCTTTGCTCCTTTCCTGGAACTCACTCTGTAACCCAGGCTGGCCTCAAACTCACAGAGATCCACCTGCCTCTGCCTTCCGAGTGCTGGGATTAAAGGCATGCACCACCACTGCCCGGCTACAATTTTATTTTAACATTTTATTTTATCTTATTTTAGAGACAGGATTTCTCTGTGTAACTGCCCTGGCTGTCCTGAAATTCACTTTGTAGATCAAGCTGACCATGAACTCATGGAGATCTGCCTGGCTTTGCCTCCTAAGTGCTAGAATTAAAAGCCCATCTTATAAATACAATTTTAAAAGTAAACTGGAACAAAGATATTGTGAAACTCATGTTTTCTATTCCATTTCATTAAGAAATTCCGTGTAAAATAAATGAAAGAATTTTAATTTAAAAAAGAAAGAAATTCTGGCTACCTAGTGGCAGATTTAGGTTTAATGGATCCTAAAGTTGTTGTAATTTATTTTTTCAGAATTGTACTGCTGTAAAGTTTTTTTTAAAAGGTTTTTACATTCACTCATGTGTGGGTGTATTTGTGCCATATCAAATGTATGGCAGTCAGAGGACAATCTGCCGGGAGTTAGTTCTCTGCTTCTACTGTGTGGGTCCTCAGAGTAAAACTCGGGTCATCAGGCACAGTGGCAGGTGCCTTTACCCACTAAACCATCTGTCTAGTCCACAAAATGCTATACAAAATTAGTCAAGCCTTTGAGTAAGAAACCTGGGCCTCATTACCTTCAAGATAATGATTTATTGTCCTTTAATGGCTCATTCATAGTGGGTCTCTAGCAGCAGTTTGATAAACATGGCAATACACTTAAAATTAGTCTGGCTAGATAATAAGATGTGAACATTTTCAACTTTAACCTTCAACAAATGTATGCACCCATGTCCACCATCATAATCATGAAATATACCATTCATTTCAAAGAGTTTACAGTCAGTCTCCAGACAGTCCTCATCCTGATTTCTATCATCAAAAAAATAAAATTGGTGCCCTTCTTATTCCGGGTGCTCCAGATGTTGAAGTGAGGGCGTGGTGGGTCCTCTGAAGCAAAATTCTGGATTTCCCTAGGTCTCTCCGTAGGAACTTCAATACCTGTGCCGACAAGACAGGAGCCAAAAACGTGCCTATCATCTCTGTGAAGGGAATCAAGGGATGGCTGGACAGACTTCCTGTTGCTGGTGAGTGAACTGGTGATGGCCACAGTTAAGAAAGACAAACCAGCCTGAAGTGGCGTACGCCTTTAATCTCAGCACTCAGGAGGCAGAGGCAAGTGGATCTCTGTGAGTTCGAGACCAGCCTGGTCTACAGAGCGAGATCCAAGACAGGCACCAAAAGAAGAAGAAGAAAAGAAAGAAAGGGCAAACCAGGGCTAAGCATAAGGTCCATCCAGCCATGGTAACTTGACAATGAAAGTCATATAGAAAAGATGGGGTGTTCATTTTGAAGACTATGCAGGGGTCACAGTAAACATTAAAAACAAGATGAAAGATCCAGGTGCAGAGGAGTGTGGCCCAGACTTGCATCCAATGCAGGCAGCATTGCATGGGTTTTTAGCATCTTTGTGAAATATATTAAAAATACACTTGAAATGATAAAGTACTAGTCTCATTGAAATGAACTATTGAAATAAATTTCAAGTAGAACTATATAGTTTGACCCTTTTGTATCTGGTTTCTTTCATTCGACATAGTGTTTTCATTACTCATTCACATGGTCAAATACATCAACGCTGTGGTGATCCTTTTTGTTGCTGAACAGTATTCCATGATATTTAATATGGTGCATCATGGCTTGTTTATGCGTTCACCTGTGAAGAGTGCATTTGGGTTGCTTCTACGTCCTTTGTTCTTATTTGTAGAACCTCTGTAGACGTTCACGTGTTCTTGTGTGAGTGCAAATCTCTATCTCTAAGGCAAATTCTCAGAAATGGGATTTCTAGGTCATATGTAGTGTAAGCTTAACTTTGTGTTAAACAACCAAACCCTTCCCATGGGGACTGCATCCATTCACACTGCTAGCTAGGTACTCTCATTGCTTCATCTGCTCCAGAGCTTGGTAGGATTCATTACCTTAGGTTTTAACCATTTTCTAACCATAAAATGCATGTGGCTGTCTAGTTTCATTTGCATTTCCCTAGTAGCTAATAATGTTAAGTATCCTTTAATTACTTTATTTTTTCCACTTGAATATCTTCTTTGGTGAATTCTTTTGCTCAAGATTTTTTTGCCTTTCTAAATATTCAGGCTGTGGTTCCTTATTATGGAGCTATGAAAATTTTTATATACTCTGGATATAAGTCCTTTGAGATATGTTTAGACAGGTATAGCTGTATCTCATGTATATGTACATACATACAATTTGTGCAATGTTTCTCCCAGTCTTTAGTTTGCCTTTTGCGTTCTCCTAATGCTATGTATGAAGAAACAAAGATTTTCAGATTTGTTACAGCAACATATAAAGTAACTATTACAACATGTAAAGTAACTATTACACACACCATGGCCAGACACATTCAAGGAAACATCATTCTCTCAGTGGTTTTGTTTGCTTATTGAGACAGAGTCTGTCTATGCTGCTAAACTTCTAGGCTGAAGTGATCTTCCTAGCTCAGCCTCCCCAGCAGCTGGTAGAACAGGTACATGTCACCAAGTTTGTTTTCTTTTCATTTGAACCTATCAAACTGCCCCCATAATAGATATTCTAGCAGATGGTTCATGCCTGCCTGTTAGGAGTAGAGGCACATATAATTACAGGGGGAGAGAGGGAGAGGGAGAGGGAGAGGGAGAGGGAGAGGGAGAGGGAGAGGGAGAGAGAGACCCCCTTGCCAAATTTCTGCCTATCAGTTTCTCTTTTTTTAATTTAGGAAACCTAGAAACCATACAGGCCTCTTGGGCTGACCACTGTGACACCTGTAATATCAGTGCTTGGGAGGTGAATCATGATTTGAGGTCAGTCTGGACCACACACATAGGGAGACTTTGTCTCATAATAAGGAAAAGAAGACTTACTTTGGACAAAATATCTTTTATTATTTGGAATTCTACTTCTGTAAGATTTGGACTTATGAATAATT